GGTGAGTCGAGACAGTTCTTCTCGTCCTGAGCATTTCATTGCATTGTTGACCTTGTGTTGATTTTGCACATGACAGACCTGAACCATAACACGTCACTGAGCTGATACGTATACCCAGCTTCGACATCCGAGAGTACAGATCGTCTTTTCATTGTGAAGCAGAACAGGCAAGTTAATGATGAAGATTTTTCTCCCATTTACTGAAAAACAGTTGATGAAAGTTGTAAGAAAACTCTCAAGGATGTTCTTGTAATTCTAAAAATGATTATGGTTTAGAGTTTCCAGTATTGCCCATCTGTGATGATCTCAACTTTAGGTGCAGCACATCCTTTCCTGAGGATCAGAACGTGATGAGAGAGAACTTATGGAATAGGACAGATACCTTCTTTGCGCATGCCAACGCGGAAACACTTCTTCAGGCGGCAGTACTGGCACTGGTTCCTGTGGTGCTGATCGATCTGACACTCTCTGTTTGACCTGAGAACATGATTATAAACACAAGAGATTCATTATTCATGAAATAAATACAGCAGGAACAAAAATGATCTATTTTCCCAATGAGATCCTAAATCAGAATTTCCACAGATGTTCCATTTTATTCCATTTTCAATTGCAAACTTGTCCAGACTCAGACTTCCAGATTGTCTAATTGATTTGTCAAACTATTACTGACACCTGGATATTTTGAAATTAGCTTTGAAGCCCAACAGCAAATGTGTATTTTACATTTCAGCCATGGAAGTCACTATGATGTCCAATATGTCAAAAGATTGTGGTTTTCAAACCCATTAGAACTGTATTAATACACAAAACTTAAAATGTTTTAATGCTACATTATTGAGCAACGTTACACAATAAAAAAAAAAAAGAAGTTACATTTGATCTAATAATTTAAGATAACATTTTGGGGTTTTCTCATTTGTCCCTTATACAAAAAACCCAAAATCAAGTATAAAAATGCAAATATACATTTTTAATTTCTTCTCATTTATTTTACATATTTTTAAATAATCCGTTCAAAAAGCTAGCTGTGAAGCATTTAAAATCTTTACCTAATCAGGTACATAAAGCATGAGTTGACATCAGAGCGGCTACATCTACAAGATGGACTTGATCTTTCAGCCCACAGCCCATTGGAGCAGAGCCTGGTTCTGCTGGAGGTTGTTCCTGTTAAAAGGGAATCATTCCTCTCCACCGTCGCCCACCAGCCAGTGCATTTGATGGAGGATTGTATGGGAAAACAGTCCGATGATTTCCTTCTTTTCACAAACTGGCCTTTAAAAATATACTGAATCTGGCTGAAAGGTAGGGCAGCACAGCAGGGCAGTGGGTAAAGCTGTTGCCTCACAGCAAAAAGGTTGCAAGTTTGAAACTATTATTATGTGAATATCCTGATGCATGCTCAAAAATCCAGGTAGATAAATCTAACAGTTCAGTCAAGTCCTCTGGACGAATTCTTCTTGTTGAAACATTTCATCTTTTATCCAAAAGACTATGAGAAGGTGCTATTTATAAGACTGAGTTTGTTGCAGCTCCTCAGACTTTCATGAAAGTCTTTTAGATAAAAGATGGAATGTTTCAACGAGAAGAATCTGTGCAGAGGACCTGACTGAACTGTTAGATTTGTCTACCTGGATTATTGAGCATGCATCAGATCTTTAAAAAGCTTATTTGTGACTAACTGCAGTGCATCATGGGGCAACAGTGCTTAGAGGCATCCATCCATCCATCCATCCATCCATCCATCCATCCATCCCCTTCACCAGCTTCTTCATTTCTAGGTCGCTGGTGTCCATATCCAGCAATCACTGTATGAAAGGTGGGGGACACCCTGCACAGGTCTCCAGTCCATCATAGGGACACAGAGACGAACGAGACAAACAACCATTCACTCTCTCACTCACACCTAGAAACAATTTAGAGTTACCAATCAGCCTAACATTAATGTTTTTGGTCTGTGGGAGGAAACCAGTGTCTGAAGAAAACCCATGTGTGCACGAGGAAAACCTAAACTCCACCCAAAAATGTTTCAACTTGAGACAATCCTGAGACTTCTCGCTACACACCGAGATGCTGCGTCACCCACTGACAGAAGATAAATCAGAAATTGTAGCCTCAATTTAGAGGTAATTTTAAGCCATTGCCAAAAACAGCAGACTACTGCTAATGTTTGATGTTTTTAATGGGAAAAATGGTCAGAGAAAAGCAGCTTACATGTGCAACTGGTTTTATCTGTTTTATTAAATATTTGCATCTACTGTATACTTTGATTTATTTTAGTCATTTATATACAGAATAAACATTTGGCTTGTTTGAGAGAAGCACAGTTTCACTTCTTGTTTTTGGAACTTTATGAATATATTCAAAAACATTGCTCTTGTTAAAATTTGCTTCAGGATACTTGCTCTATTTTCGTCCTACTACCTGTTTTACTGCCCTCCTGCTTTGCTTATTTTAGCTACTTTTCTGCTGTTTTTAGCATTTAGCCTTTTGCTACCTTTACATTCTATCCAGCATTTTGCTACTTTTAGTTTCAAGCAAGTTTCTTGATGCTTTTAGCTTACCTTTTGATTTTTTTTCTTCATTTTCCTGTAGCTAACCTTTGGCTACGTTTATCTTGTAGCTAACATTCACATCTTTTAGCTGTTAGCTAGTGTTCTGCTTTAAAAACATATTTTAGCTAGTGTACTGCTTCTTTCAGCTTGTGCTTTGCTCCTTTTAGCTTTTGCTCTGCTTCTTTTAGATTTACCAACTCATTTTCAGCTTCATCAGCAAATTTCACCTGTTCTTCAGTACATTTACACACACACCACACACACACACACAAATTAATAATAATATGCCTAAAGACAACAAGATATAACGGATAGATTTTAGTGGCACCTTTTATTTAGAAAGGAGCCTGAAAAACCACTGACCTATTGTTTCAGTTGTACAATTGTATTAAATCTTTCAATGCCTTTATTTTTTTATACATTTGCAGAAACGGTTCTCCTTAAATAGAGCAACTGACTGCACAACTGTTATAACAGTGTATGTTAAATCAAAACCAGACACCAGGCTGGGCCGCATCATATAGTTCACGATAATACCGGGGAAAAAAAAAAACTTGCCAGGGAAAATGAATTATATCATGATATGCTAATTTCATGATGTAAATACATCAGTGTTTCTTCTTAACGGGGCGACGGAACCGAGCACGCTGAACTACTGAACCGAAATGTGCACATCCCCCCAACACGCCTGTTGGTACTGGCGTAACGCTAATTAGCTGTGCGCAATACTAGTAGCTAAAAAGCTAAAAACAAACAACGCGCGGCTCAGCTGTGTTTCTCCACCCAACTCTAAACTGCGGGTACAGACAGTGCACAGCTCAGTTCTCTCACCCCCACCCCGCCCTGCTGCCGGTACAGGTGCAGCTCGGCTGGGTCTCCCCCCGCTCTAAACCTCCAGTACAAATAGGCCTGTCACAATAACTAATTTTGCTGGGCAATTAATCGTCTCAGAAATTATTGTGATAAACGATAATATTGTTTGAAATTTGACAATAATTAGTAATTATTGTCAAATTTATGAAGAAATGTTGATTAATTTGTTTTGAGTGTAGTACCTTTTTTGGACCACCTGATGGCAGTTCCAGACTGTTTGAACCAAAGGATGGATAGTGAGGGAGTGAACAGCGTCTAAGAAAAATGGGAAGGAGGCCCTTTGATGAGACATGGGCCGTCTCTCCTTCCTTTCTTCAGTTCTCAAAATGGCGCACGTTCAGTGTGGTTTGAGCTCTTTAGCATAGCATTTTTCACACAATTTTATTTTTTTTTTTAAATCAGTAAACAAGTTCTCAGCTTCTTTTTACAGAGAAAAACAACTTTTTACATGAAGTCACAGATTTCAACCGCAAATTTTGGAGCTTTGACAAGACGGAGGTTTTTTCACGAGGTTGGCCTGTTAGCTTAGCTGCTTTTAACGATCCAAAAATGCTATTTTGGATCGTTAAAACATATTTTAAAGAGAATAGAGAAAGGGAGGGGTCAGTGAAGAGCACCGGAGTTGAGCCTTTTGTCGTCCAGTGTCTTCAGTAGAAAGAGAGACACAAAGAAACGTCAAAGCCGATAAATGAAAATAAGGTTGATAAATTTATCATGCGATTAATTGATTTATTGTTTATTGTGACAGGCCTAGGTACAAACACGCACAGTTCAGCTGTGTCTCTAGTCCATGGAGCAAGAACAGAGTCCGGTGATCAAAGACAGAGCATCAGAGAAATGAATCATTCCTGCAGCAACAGAAGAAGCTGAAACACCACAAGCTTCAGGCTCAGCTGATCACCTTGTTACAAGTTCTGGAAGTTACAGCTCATTTAAAGGAACATATATTTTGTTGCATGTTACATTTATTGCTCAACAGATGTTAAGCTTCATTTTATTGAGTTTATTTGGAAACTGCACCTGCACTTTAGTTTTTGTGGTGGATTTATTGATCTATATTTTGTGCAGACTGTTTCAATCTAAATAACAGAAGGATCATTTTTATTTTTGATGTTTATACTTTGAGACTCAATACTTTTCTAAATAAAGTAATTTCAGTTAAATTAACCCTTGTTGTTTTTTTTTAGTTTTTATATAATACTGCAAAGCAACATGTTAATTTTGTCAAATCAATAACTATGATTTCTGGGTTTTTTTTGTTATATCACAAAATGTATTGTTATTGTCAGAATGTTCTGAACTATCACAATATTGTATTTGAGCCATACCCCCCCCCCCCCCCACCAGGTATGACTCGTCAGTAAACTCCGGGGTCTACAACCTGTGGCCACATGCAGCTCTTTGGTCGTTCTGCAGCAGCTCTGCAGTTTTTAACACACAACATGGAAGTGAATATTACTGAAATTTGATTAAAAGCTAAAAGATTTAATGTAAATAAAAGTCTATTTCTACAAGAAGTCATTTATCAACTCTCAAATAAATATCTAATAAACTGTTTTAAGTTTTATCTTTATTTTAACAATGTTTTATTATTATTATTATTTGAAAATTGGAAACTTTCTAACAAGTGATTAGATTTTTTATAAAATGTGCGTTTACACAAGAACAAAATAGTTTTTTCTCTTATCTTTATAAGTGTATGTATTTTCTATTTATTCATAACTTTTGGTGTTATCAGAAATACACGTCTAATTTATGGTGTTGGGTTTTCTGTAAGTGTCTTTAAATTCATCCTGTGGTTCATGAGAAATTGTGGTGCCAACACACCAACACGTGTATGGTACACTGACGTTAATTACAATTATAAGCATTTGTCTTTGCCAGCAGGCTCTAAAAGTTAGTTTGTGACATTTTGCAATTAAAGCTATGTAAGAAACTGCTGACACATAATGTCATTTACACTCAAATCTTTTGGAGTCAACCCAATTCAAGATGGCTGCCACAGCCAAATGACCTTAAATACACAAAGATACCTATACGTCAATCAAT